CTAGAGTGTTGTGGCATCACAGCTCATAGCAACCTCCAGCTCTTGAGCTTAGGTGATTCTCTTGCCTCAGCCTCCCGAGTAGCTGGGACTACAGGTGCCTGCCACAACGCCCAGCTATTTTTTGTCACAGTTTGGCTGGGGCCAGTGCCCTACTCACTGAGCCACAGGCACCACCCTCTTTACAAATGTTTTTAATATTTATATTTATGCTTATGCATCAAAAGTGTAACTCCAGGAAGCAATAACAATACGCCTACGTGAAATAATACCTGGAATATGGTAATGAAAGCATTTTCAGCCAGCGAAGAGTGATGTTTCTCTTCCTGTACTTTGTACTGCAGGAACTACCAATCTAGCTAATATTTTTACAAAGATTATTGGAAAATCCCTTGTAAAATTATTAAATATGCTAAGAGCATGGCAAAAGAGCTGCTGAGAGACACTTTGGACTTCCCGCCACAGAGTGTCATCGGACTGCGGAGGCAGCAGGAAGCAAAGGTCCTTGAGAGGCCAAGAGAGAAGCAGGCAACGTGAGGGAAACCCGCCAAGTGGCTGGAGGGGGAGACCTGGATTCTGCAGCAGTGTCCAACTGGGATCTCTGTTTCAACCAAGATAATGCAAGAAGAGAGTAAAAGGGTTGCTCGAGAAAAAACGATGATTTCTCAGGGACACCGAAAAGGTGCTTTAAGAAGAGAGGTTTGAACATGAGAACATGAACAAAACTTGCCCCCAAACTTCCAGCAGCCTATGAGAATCAAATTTTGGAATTTCATTCTTATGTTATCGATCTTTGAAAGACTTACAACTTTGAGCTGACCCAAATTGTCAATATGGATGGCTGAGGTCCCGCTCTCATTTGGTATGCCATTCCACAGAACTGTGGATGTCAAAGGAGCAAAGACAGTAGCTGTTAAAACTAGAGGACGTGAGGCCGGGTGCAGTGGCTCACGCCTGTAATCCAAGCACTCTGGGAGGCTGAGGGAGGTGGATAGCTGGAGCCCAAGAGTTTGAGGTTGCTGTGAGCTATGACACACACAAAATTTCTTTTTCTTTTGAGACAGAGTCTCACTCTGTCACCCTGGGAAGAGTGCCTTAGTGTCATAGCTCACAGCAACCTCAAACTCTTGGGCTTAAGCAATTCTCTTGCCTCAGCCTCCCAAGTAGCTGGGACTGCAGGCACCTGCCACAACACCTGGCTATTTTTTGTTGCAGTTGTTTAGCTGACCCAGGCTGGGTCGAACCCTCTTGCCTTGGTGTAAGTGGCTGGAGCCGTAACCACTGTGCTATGGGTGCCAAGCCAAAAATAATTGTTTTTTTGAGACAGAGTCTCACCATGTCGCTCTTGGTAGAATGCTGTGGCATCACAGCTCACAGCAACCTCAAACTCTTGGGCTCAAGCGATTCTCTTGCCTCAGCCTCTAGAGTAGCTGGGACTACAGGCACCAGCCACAATACCTGGCTTTTTTTTTTTGTTTGCAGCTTTTTGGCTGGGGCTGGGTTTGAACCCACCACCTCCAGTACATGGGGCCAGCGCCCTTTCCTTGAGCCACAGGTGCCACCCCAAAAATAATTTTTTTAAAATGAAAGATTTTTTTTCATGAACATTTGAGCCAAAAGCAGGGTGCGCATTACACCAGCAAAGTATATAGACGTATGTAACTATAACAAAGTATATAACAGGAAGTATTACTAATGAAATCATCCAACAGGCTTTCTCAACTCAAGTTCAGTTATAGATAGGGTTAACTATAAAAGTTATGCAGTAATCTCATTGTACCAGTGGGGTGTGGTCGTGGGATAAGGAACTTCAAGTCTTCAACAAGTCTCCCAGTTCTGGGTAGGTAACCTTTTCAGAGAAGTCCTACCTTTCTGAGCAGGTATTTTTGAAGAGAGCTGGTAGGAAAGGTTTCAGGACCCGTCCAATGAGGAAACTTTATAAGAGTTAGACACTTCTGTAGGTTGATAGTAGTTCTAACTTCCAACTGGGCTGAAAACTGCTTGTTTTGTGGAAAAGTAAACTCAGAAACAAACATCAAAAATGAAAAGCCTCCCAACTTTTGAGGAACAAACCGAATGCGTTGTGAAAGCTCTGCTTGAGGAATTCTTGGGCCCAGCACCACAGATGGCTAGTCGGAACCTAACCTCTGAAGACAAACCTGATTCAGGTAAGGCCCCTGGCCTGTGCTGTTGATGACAGGTTAAAAGGAGTATGCTTTACTTCCCCTTAAGTGTTAAAGGCAAACGCTCAGCTTTAGCAATACCTGAAGGAAAAAAGTTCAGTGAAGGAGATTTTCTGGCTATTGGTATTGACAGCATTGAAGTTCTTGGGAGAGAACAATAACAAAATTGTTTAAAAGACTAGAGAACTTTTTATTATTGTCCCGATTCCTGGGACTTGCCATCCCTTCCAGCATTGTGAAAAATGTAACCAAGATGTTCCCTTTGTCTTACTCAGGAGAGCCTTCCACTGTTGACTGGACTATCGTTGCTAGTCGCCTTCGGATGTTGGGGGACGAGATTAATGCAGAGGTAGAAGCTTCTGCCAAAGACTTTGTACAAACCATTCCAGGACAGGTCAGGTTTCTACGTTCTGCTACCGTTTGATGCTTTGTTTCTATTTCAAACTTCTTTTTTTTACTACTTTTATGTGAGTGTGACTAGGAATATTTGGGTGCTTGTATTCATCCAAGGAGACCTAGCAGGAATTCTCCAATTGCTAATTCTTTAAAAGTTAATCAAAACCTAAGTGGTATAGAGACGGAAAGTTCTTGCCTGAACAGCTTTCGGCTTGTCTCCTCTTGGTTTTCTTTTTTCTTTCTTTCTTTTTTTTTTTTTTTATTGAGACAGAGTGTCAGTATGTCGCCCTCGGTAGAGTGTCGTGGTGTCACGCTCACAGCAACCTCAAACTCTTGGGCTTAAGCGATTCTCTTGCCTCAGCCTCCCTTGTAGCTGGGACTGTCGGCACTTGCCACAATGCTGGGCTGTTTTTTTGTTGTAGTTGTCATATTTGTTTGGCAGCCCTGGGCCGGTGCCCTAACCACTGAGCCCCGGGGGCCAAGCCTCCACATGGTTTTCAGCAGAGCTGTGCTTAGTGCACAATAGTAATTGTACTTTACTCTTGGCAAAGTTATCTTAATACTGGCTTGGTGCCTGTAGCTAGGGTGCCTGCCACATACACCCAAGCTTGTGGGTTTGAACCCAGCCTGGGCCTGCCAAACAGCAATGACAACTACAACCAAAAAATAGCCAGGCATTGTGGTGGGCACCTGTAGTATCAGCTACTTGGGAGGCTGAGGCAAGAGAATCACTTAAGCCTAAGAGTTGGGGGTTGTTGTGAGCTGTGATGCCAAGGCACTCTACCAAGGGTGACATAGTGAGACTCTCAAAAAAAAAAAGTTATCTTAATACTTACTTTGTGGGGGCATGGTGTCTTTTCCCCTCCAGGGCTCAGCAATGAACTATATACAGGAGTGACAGGCAGTTTACAAGTTGGATGCAATGAGGGATAAGCCCTTACAACAGCCCACTGGCCTTTCATCAGAATGCTGCTTAATAGGCCGAGCATGGCTGCTCATACCTGTAATCCTAGAAATCTGGGAGGCTGAGGCAGGTGGATCCCTTGAGATCAGTAGTTCAAGACCAGCCTGAGCAAAGCAGGACCCCTGTCTCTACTAAAAATAGAAAAACTAGATGGGCATTGTGGTGAGTGTCTGTAGTCCCGGCTACTGGGGAGGCTGAGACAAGAGAATCGCTTGAGCACAAGAGTTTGAGGTTGCTGTGAGCTGTAACACCAACACACTCTCCCAAGGTGACAGAATGAGACTGTGTTTCAAAAGAAAAAAAAAAAAGGAATGCTGATTACTGAGAGTAGGACTTGGATTTTGTGTTAGATGTAAAGACCATAAGGCAGTGTCCTAGGAGATGTTGCCGATTAATATCAACAGTGACAACTACTATTGATTTATTACTTGCTATGTGCCAGTGTTAACTCATGTAATGATTACACCCCTGTAGGAGTTGTCATAGCTTCCTAGAAGCTGTTAATCATTAGAGCAACTGCTCCTCTTCTGCATATAACACCATGAGCGGAAACCTATTTTGTTCACCGCTGTAATCACACAACCTAGATAGTGCCTGATATACAAAAGGCCCTTAGTAAGTACGTATTTCCTAACCTGATACTATTTAAGCAGATAAGGCAACTGAGGCACAAGGAAATATATAATTAAGTCACTCAGTAAGCGTTGGATGGAGTGCAGTGGTAAGATCATACCTCACTGCAGCCTTAAACTCCTGGGCCTGGGTGGTGCCTGTGGCTCAAGGAGTAGGGTGCCGGCCCCATTTACCAGAGATGGTGGGTTCAAACCTGGCCCTGGCCAAAAACTGCAAATAAATACATAAATAAATAAAGTATTAAATTCCTGGGCCCAAGTGATCCTCCTGTTTCAGCCTCCTTAGTAGGTAGGGCTATAGACGCATACCTCCACACTTGGCTAATTTTTCTTATTCTTTGTAGAAATAGGGTCTTGTTATGTTACCCAGGCTGGTCTCAAACTCCTGGCCTCAAGTGATCTGCCTGCTTCAGCCTCCCAAAGTGCTGGGATTACAGGCATGAGCCACCGCACCTGGCTAACTTGAAGCTAAGATGTGAACCCAGACTGATTCCAGAACCAAGCTCTTAACCATTGATGTTTTATTCCCCCTACAGTACACAGTTTGGATAGTGTGCCTACATCACATCCAGGCAGAACTGAACCTATAACTCCCAATTGCTTGCCCTGAGGCTGTCCTGTGTAACTTCTAGCTAAATCTACTTTTTTCTTCCTCATTTTAAAAAATTTTGGAATAGTCTCAAACTCAGAAAAGTTGCAAATATGCTGCAAAGAATTTTTCTCTGAGTCATTTGAGAGTAAGTAGGTGGTATATTTCATCACCCCCTAATACTTCCTTCCTAATATTTCCTTCAAACAAGGACATTCTCGGCTCGGTGCCTATAGCTCAACCGGCTAAGGCGCCAGCCACGTACACCTAAGGTGGCGGGTTCGAATCCCCAGCCCGGACC